GCTGTCGCCCGGTTTGCGAGGGTTTCCACCTGCACTGACTTTCCTCCGCACCAGAGGCCCTGCGCCTCTGAGAGGTCACGGGACGAAGGCGCTGCTCTCCCCGCGGGAGCGAGCGGTTGGGCCTGCACCCCGGCAAGCGGAAATCCAGGCGTGAGGGTGCGAGGGCCACCCGGGAGCGGCCAAGTGGAGCTTCAGCCTCCCACGCTCCAAAGGGGGGGCCGCTTCCCCTCGGCCTAAGGGGGCTGGACCCCGGGCTTCACATCTCGGGTGACCCCTGCAACTCGGGAGTAATTCCTGTCATTTAACAAAGAGGAAAACGAGATTTAAAATGTCGTCATCTTCAAGGGACGTGCCGGGGACTCTAAAGGGCTCCCACGGTTCGCATTCCTCGAAGGCCCTGGGTCTGGAACCTTTGAATCTCCTCCGATTTCGAAGCTAATCGGCGCCCGGCCCCTCCACTAGAACCAAACCGTATGGCCCAGGCCTCTGGCTCTAAATAAACTGCTTCATTTATTTTTTAAAAAAACATTGCTTGAAGTGATGTACTAGATTCACCCGTTGAAGGTATGATTTCAATGTTTCAGGGCTTCATAGGTGGAGATGAAGCTGGCTTTTCCCAAGGCCACATTCTGGTAACATCTAATAATCCCTCCGCTGGCTATTATGACTCTGGCTTGTTTGGAAATTAGTATTTTCTTTCCTAAAATTAGAAAACCCAAACCTTTAGTACTTTCTTAGGCTTCCAAGTTTCACTTTCAAACCTTATTATCCTATTCATTAGCCTAGAAGGTTGTTTTGTGTGTGTGTGTTTTAACCCTCACTGGAGGACATGCTTAGAGGAAGGGAGGGAGAAAGAGAGAGGGAGAGAGAAACATTGATGTGCATCAGTTGCCTTCCATACGTGCCCCGAGCAGGGATGGAACCCGCAACCCAAGTATGTGCCCTGCAGCCTTTCAGTGCACAGGACAACCTCAACCAACTGAGCCACTCTGGCCAGGCAGGACGTTTTAACAATTACATTTAATGACTTCTACATGACACAAGGTTCCACTGACAAACTTAATTAACTAAACATCCACATACATGGCAAAGGGCATTGCAAGGTACTTTAAGTCTCGAATAACAACTTCCCAGTTACTAAATAATTCCTGTAAATCAAATAAATAAAACTTATTAATGCGTTGAACCGGAATTTCTCTTCAGGAATCCAATGTTGCATATAAACTAAGATTTCATCTTAAGCCACATATCTAAACCAATTAATTATATATTTTAAATTGGAGTTACAATACTATTTCTCTCATGTGTTACATTATCTAAAATATTACAGAAAAATAAAATACCGTGTGTATGGATTCCTTCTTTTTTAACTACTTTGAAGAGTAAAGTACAGTAAACTGCTTATATTAAAATGTGTACTATTTAACCAGTTTTGACATATAGACACATCCAGTGGAACCTTCGCTGTAATCAAGATAATGCACATTTCCATCATTGCTAAGAGTTTCCTGCTGTCTCTTTCCAATCCCTTCCTCCCTCCATTCCCTTCCCCAGGCAATCACTCCCTGCTTTCCATCACTGTAGATTAGTTTTCATATTCTAGGATTTTATTTAAATATAGATTCCTTTTTTCAATCTATCTTTATTGATTTCATAGTGAGTTAGGAAGAGGGGGAGAGAGAGAGATAGAAACATCAATGATGAGAAAGTCATTGATTGGCTGCCTCCTGCAAGCCCCCCACTGGGGATCTAGCCAGCAGCCCAGGCATGTGCCCTGACAGGGAATGGAACTGAGATCTCCTGGATCATAGGTCTATGTTCAACCGCTGAGCCAAGCCAACCAGGCTAAATACAAGTTCCTTTTTAACACAATTATTAATACTATGGTTTTAATTCTCTTAAGTATTTCTATACCCAATTCTGAAACTTCAAGGAAGTAAAAGATCTCCACACACACACACACACATGACAACATACACAGAACTGCAAGTATCCTCCTATGTCAACTAAGGAGAAATAATATCACCCTATATCATTTTGGTATAAGAAACATATTTCAGACTAGAGATTTTCATGGGGATGCTTCCTGGATTGGATTCTTCTTGGCAACACTGTTGGGAGCTCAGATTTTAATTTATAGTTGCTGTGTTTAGTGACTCCATAAGCTCCAGGGAAGACAGTTATGGAGCCCAGATCCTTAAGTTTCAGTTACATATTCACCTAATTCTTCTGCCTACCTGCAGAAGTTTATAAGTCCATCCTGTGACCTTTTGAATTGATATTGCCCTTCTTTGGCTCTTAATGCATATTCTGCTTAGGTCTCAAGACTGTGGACCTATCAAACACCTCCAAACGTCTCATGCACTTCTCTGGCCAACAGAACTCCCATGGGGGATGCAAGGATGAGCCTGAATTCTGGGGATCTCAGCCCACTGGTTTGGGCATCACGGCTGTATAGCTTCATCTTCCTGAGCAGCAGTTAATAAGCAATGCTTTAAGCTGGACAGAAAAACTGAGAAATGGAAATATAATGGTGTTAGAGAATTAAGGCATCAAAAATTTCAAGGGACTCCCCTCTAATGTCCAAACCACATGGAACACCTGCTGTTGGCTGTGCTCAGCTGTCTCTGACAGGTCAAGGAAGAAGCTGGAAATGTGGTGGCCTCTGGGCAGGTAACTCACTGTCAAGGTTCAGGGGGAAGGAGGGGACTTTAGCCCTTGAATACCTTTTTTACTCGGGTTTTTGTTTTGTTTTGTTTTTTGGTGTTTTTAATTAGGTTTTCCATAAAAAAAATTATTCCAGCTCCTCAGGAATGCTAAAATCGTCCCATTAGAACTGCCTGAGGCCCAGGCGGGCGTGGTTCAGCGGTTCAGCTTCGACTTAGGATCCAGGCGATCAGGGTTCGATTCCCGGTCAGGGCTCCTTCCCCAGGCGGGGCGTGCAGGAGGGAGCCGATCCATGACTCTCTCATCATTGATGCTTCTATCTCTCTCTCCCTCTCCCTTCCTCTCTCTGAAATCAATAAAGAAATGTTTTAAAAAATAAAATAAGACTTGTCTGAGAAGCACCCAGACCCCCGAAATACGCCTCTCGGCGGATATTGTCCGGCTGTTGGATCTTCCCTGCGGCTCTGGGGCTCCGCCTCTGGCTCTGGAGCGCGGCCGGACGGGC